CTATTCCATAGCTTGGAAAGTCAATTTGACATTAAGCGCTAGCCAGGAATCCACAAACAAGACAACATTTTGGTGGCCCATGAAGCCTTTCATTATCTTAAATTGCACAGAAGGGGCACACAGTCAGACATGGCTGCCAAGCTTGATTTCAACAAAGCCTATGATAGGGTCCAATGGGATTTTTTGGAAGCGGTTTTGCATAGAATGGGCTTTCATGAAATGTGGATTAATTGGGTGATGCAATGTGTATCCACGGTCACTTTTGCTGTGATTGTGAATGGGGCTGAGAGGACAACCTTTATACCTTCTAGAGGCATCCGGCAAGGGGACCCTCTTTCTCCTTACCTATTCCTCCTTGTGGTAGAGGTTTTTTTCCAAACTCCTCCAATAGAGCCTAGAAGCAAAGAGATTCTCTAGCATTAAAATCAGCTAAGGTTGCCCAATGCTATCTCATCTTTTCTTTGCTGACGATGTTCTCTTGTTTCTCAAAGCGGATGTGGTTCAATGTCAAGAAACTCTCAGAATTTTAGATGTCTATGGTCGTGACTCAGGCCAACAAATTAACTTCGAAAAGTCGGCAGTCCAATTCTTAGCTAATACTAGTGCAGAGCTTCAAAGACAAGTCTGTGATGTCATGTGCATTACCCCTGTTAAACCAGGTTCAAGATACTTGGGTTTACCGGCTTCTTGGGGAAGATCCAAGCGAGAGACATTCAATTTCATTGTAGAGAAGGTACGTGACAAGCTTCAAGGCTGGAAGCTTAAACTGTTATCATCAACGGGTCGGGCAATTATTCTCAAATCGGTTGCCCAAGCTATTCCCTCCTATTGCGGCTTGTTTCCTTTTTCCAAAAGCGGCAATGCTAGGTATCATGAAAAGTCTTTCATGAAAATAGTCATGAAAGATTTGTGACATTTGGATTACACTTATAATAAAGCACCACACACTAATCAAGGTAATCTAAGGGTCACAAATTTTTCATGATCATTTTCATGACAAAATTTTCATGATCTCTAACATTTCTCTTCCAAAAGAGTTATGTGCTAAATTAAATTCACTATTGGGCAACTTCTAGTGGAAAGGTGACCCCAATAGCAAAGGCATTCTTTGGGCCGCGTGGGAGAAGATGACCATACCCAAGCTGCAAAAAGGAATGGGATTCCGGGATTTTCGATCTTTCAAAAAAGCCTTGTTGGCCCATCAAGGTTGGCTGTTGGGCAAGTATCCCAATTCCTTCTGTGCTAAATTTTTCAAAGGCAGGTACTATCCTGATTCAGATTTTTGGAATGCCAGAAAAGGACCTCGGGCGTCGTGGGCTTGGACCAGTATTTTGGAAGATGGTGAGGTACTAAACCGAGGGGTCAGATGGCGGAAATCCATCAAGTTCTTGGACGACAAATGGGTTGCAACATCTCAAGACTTCCGCGTGAAATCTCGAAAACCTACGGGATGCCCATTAGTTACCGTTAGCGATGCTATCAACCCCATTTCCAAATGTTGGCAGAAAGATGTGTTGCAACAGGTAGTCTCACCTGAGGAGGTTAATGAAATCTGTATCATCTCTATTGCGGTTGAAGAACAAGTTGATCGTTTGATTTGGCATCATAACTCGAAAGGTACCTACTCATTCAAGTCCGGGTACTATGCCGAAGTTACTTATCAACAGAGTCTTAGTGCGGACAGGCCATCTTCTTCATTTCAGATACCAGATTTGTTTTGGAAATTCTTGTGGACTTTACCGATTCCTCCTAAACTTCGATATTTTTGGTGGCGGGCATGTAATAATCTGTTGGCCTCCAAAGCTAACCTATTCCGTTGCCATTGTGCAAAGAATGAGGTGTGCCCCATATGCCATTTGGATTCCAAAAGAATAAAGCATTTGCTGTGCGATTATGATTGGACGAGGGCTGTGTGGTTTGGGAGCAATTTAAACATCAATCTCAGCTCTGGGCCCATAGTTTCGATCCAATATTGGACTTGTGATTTCTTTCACGATATTCAGAACAAAACTAATAGACGAGAGTATTTTTGTAAGCTGCTGTGGCTGGCTTGGCATATTTGGAAAGGTCGAAATGACTTTGTCTTCAACCAACATCCCACTGATCCCTGCTCTATGATCTTCAAAGCTGATAAGGACTTTTGCGAACATGCGACAGTGCTGCAACCCAATCAGCCTAACTCCAACCATTGGAGAACTCCGCAATCTATGGCAAGGACATGGACTCCCTTCCGGCGAGGGAGGTTGAAAGCTAATTGTGACATGGCCCTCAGACCTGGATCATCAAGAGCCTCAATGGCTGTAATTATCCGAGATAGCAGAGGATCTATGGCTATTCGTTGGGCATGCCTAATGGCCCGGTCCCTCAATTTATCTCAGGTGGAAATTGCAAGAGATAACAAAGCTGTGATCTGTTTGTGTGTCTCAGAGGATGATCCTCATTAGGACTGCGCTCCTATTATTGAAGATATTCGCAATACGGCTATTAAATGTAATTTTTCTTTTTTATGGACTCCTCGCGAGGCTAACCATGCTGCCCATTGGATAGCAGGGGCCTTTCTTAACAGAGCTCTCTCCCCCAATTGGTTTTGTAATCCCCTTATTGGGTTGTGTAAGGCTTTAGCCTTGATCTAATTATACAACTTTCGTCGTTCAAAAAAAAAAAAAAAAAGGAAAGCAACCACTTGTAGAATGTAGTGGATCATAATAATATTGCACTAAAGATCCCTCATTATTTTTCTACTAAGCATCTTCCCTTTTTCATTTGTCAACCACTGCATTGGACTTATTAGGTGTAGTGTAGGTTTTGACAATTGTTATTTCTTCATTTTAAGTTAAATTAATAAATAAATTTACAAAAAATAAAATTAAATAGGCCAAAATTAATATAGACAATGTAAAAACATAAAAATAAAATATCATTTTATATCCATATAACTAATAAATTGTAAATAAAAATGGACTAAGTATTATGTGAATTAAAATTTAAGAAAATTTAATATAATTATATTAAAATTATGAGGTTTACTGTATTTTTCAAAACCTATAGGGAGGTCAGGGAGGTCAGTGAAATTTACCCTTTGTCGTAAAAGTTTGAGTCATTAATGTACGCTTTGCATATATTTATGAGGCAAAAATAGTTCAAGTAAGTTTTAAAAATGATTATTGAGAAAGGTACTTTTAGCTTTGGGAAAGTTTAAAAATAATTTTAAATTAATAGTAAATTTTAAAAAGTTTAGATTTCATGTAACATTTTTCCGTTTTTGTTGTTAGTTAACATAACTTTAGATTTCATGTAACATTTTGCTTTCTTTTGCAATCTCCAACTTTGCAGACAAACAAGGCATGTACCAAGTTCTGAAAAAAAAGAACTTTAAAACATCGCGAGTCGATGGAGACGGTCTTTACAGGGGCATCAGCTACTGGTAAGCTCCATTGGACCTCGGGAGAGAAAGTTGTTGAACCTGCCGACGTCTCATCCGATTCTGCGGACAGTCTCGACGCCCAGCCATTTGTTGATCCAATGCCTGCAAGTGCACAAGACGTCAATTTAGATTCTTCACTCGAGCTTGTGACGACTGTTAACAACAAAAGGAAACGGACTCCGTCAACAAGTTGTGGCAAGTTAAAGAAGGCCACAAGTGGAGCGTCAATTATTGCAAAAAACATGAACAATCTGACAAACGTGGTGCGTACTCAGAATCAGCAAGTTACGGTCAAGCACCTCACAAGTAACGAATCACTTTACACAATTTCAGAGTGCATGCACTGGCTGAGGAACATTCCTTCCCTTCTCGGTACGCCGCTATTCCACTTTGCCTCAACATTGATGGATAACGTAGATTATGGGGGAGGTGATGATGTGCCAGCCTGATGACGACAACATTATCGGCTGGTTCACACAGAAGCAGCTGCAGTGTAGTGCGGGGGTGCAATTTGCAAACCTGTTCGGGGCTCGCCAAATTTGATATCGCGGTGTCATGCCGAAGATGCGTTCCCATTATCTAGCTTTCAAAAACGTTTACTTATGTTTATGTTGGACTTGTAATAAACAGGATGGTTGTGCGTGTTGTCTTTGTTTCTTTTTCTTTTTTCTTTTTTTATAATTTTTGCCCCAGTTTGGTGAAAAAATATTTACAAGTTATTTTCTATTTTTCGACGATTACTGTTTTGTTTATGTGTTTCTGTGCAGATGGAATAGGATGGTAGTGTTTTTTTATTTTATTATTATTATGGGAATTACAACCGCAATGGCAGGATGCCATGCTTTAGCTGTTTATGGAGTTATTTATTTGTTTATTGGTATAAGTACTTGTTCCATTGGTATGGTTGTGTTCGTAATGCAAATGATGTTATATTGGTTTTGTTTATTACCACTTACCACTGCTTTCTTAACTGTTTGTTTATTTGGTACACTTTAATTGCAATTATACCTTATTGTTAAGCGTCATGTATTCCATGGTGACGTGATATAAAAATTTCCTTTACCCCACTGCATCACGTGTAAATTGATTCAAACACATTCTCACTGTTGTAGGTTTTGCTTGAATCGGTGTGATGAATCCCAGGGATGGAAGCAACAATCCAGATTTATGGGAAATGCTTAACCAAATGGCCATACAACAGTCACAACAAAACAATTGGACAATTGTAGAAGCATGCCGATATGTGCAAGAGTGGTATGAAAAACACATGTCCAAAACGCCATATCGCACTTCTATTTTGACCAGGTATGCATGGATAACGGAACTATATGCTAGCCATGTGGGTCGATTTCAGGAAAATATGTGCATGCCGAAGGAAGTTTTTGCGAGTTTGTGTCACACATTAGTAATTGATTTTGGGCTGCAAGTACCCCAACGTGTACTTGGCTTAGCTGTTGAAGAAAGTGTTGCAATGTTTATCCACGTGTTGCAAGGGTTCCAAAATCGGCAAATCCAAGAACGGTTCCAACATTAGGAAGAGAATGTGTCTTAGCACGTGCATAATATGATAACAACGATGAAAGAGTTCACTGTTGTACATTGTAGGCCTACATATAGTCAACATCATATACATCCATACGTGCGGTCGAAACGGAAATACCTACCGTTCAAGGTACTAGTTAAAAACCTCACTTAGTACATTTTATTGGATATGACGTATGAAAACTAATGATTACTTGTACCTGTAGGAGTCACTTTTTTTTTTAGGAGTCACTTTTTTTTTTTTTTTTCAGTTGTGTACAGGATTGTATCGGAGCCATAGACAGAACACATGTTAGTGCATGGGTTACGAGGCTAGATGCCGCAATGTATTTCGGTAGGAAATACTGTCACACACAAAATATCATGGCCACGTGCGATTTTGACCTGTGTTTCATCATTGTTTCACTTGGAAGGGAAGGAAGTATGCACGATAGTTGCATCTTCAATGAGATTGTAATAAATGACAATGTCCCATTTCCACATCCTAAAGAAGGTAAAACAATAATTTGAAAATATTTGGGTACCTAATATATGAGAAAACATCATTCAATTAAAATTAAACACAATTGGGTGGTTTGTTTGAAAATTTGGTGCTGTCTATAGGAAAATGTTATCTTGTCGATGCTGGCTATCCGAACCGGATAGGTTACCTGGCACCTTTCAAAGGCAACCATTACCACCACCAACAATTCTGCAATACTAAAGAGAATAGGACAGCAAATAACCCTAGGAAATTATTTAACAAAGTTTACTTGTCGTTACATAGTGTGGTGGAACGGAGATTTGGCAACTCGAAAAATCGATGGGGGTTTATTAGAGACGTGCCTCGGTATGATTTTGCAAATGTGCAAGTTCAGTTAGTCGATGTGTCAATGGCATTACATAATTCTATATACCAAAATACAGGCAATCCAACAACTGTTAATCCCTATTTCAATGAAGAAGAGGCCATGGCTTTTGTGAATGTCATACCAGAAGTTGAACATGACAAGGATGGTTTAATGGTTGGGGATAAGGACCCGCATATGGCGTTGGTGGGACTTCGCATACGGGACAAGTTAGTGTACATGCGTAATAACGACTATTTAGGAAATATATAATAGTTCACCTAATATTTGTAGGCTTGTAACATTGGTAGGCCATGCGGAAGAGGTTGTACATAAGTATATTATAATGTACAATATGTATCTCTGTACACGGTAAATAAAATCAAAATTAGCATTGTCCACGTCATTTGCAAAAAAGAACTGGAAAAAATCCTTTTCCAAAAACACGGAAAAATAAAAAATTAAGGGAAAAAACAAAAATTATTATTGTTCATGCCATTTGTGAAAATAAAACACAAAAAATCTTTTCAAAAAAAAAAACTAAATAAAAAAGATTGAAACAAAAAAAAAAGACATTAATGCCGCCGAAATTAGCATTTAGGTGCATAAAAATAAAAGAAAAACAAGAAATTGGAACAAATAAATAAAATAAATAAAAAAGATTGAAACAAATTAATAAACAAAAAAAATTAAAACAAAACCAAGAAAAAAATTAATAAAAAAAAATTATTAATAGCGCCTTTTCCAAAACCAAGAAGCAAATTAAAAAACTATGAAAAAAAAAAAGAAAAGAAAATAACGCCATTGTGATTTCATTTTCCATGTAATTTAAAAAAAAAAAAAAAAGAGCTGGAAAAAAGCCTTTTCGGGAAACAGGGATAACCGAAATTATCATTGTCCACGTCATTTGAGAGAAAAAAAACCAAAAAAAAAAAAAGCCTTTTCCAACCAAAAAAAAAGAAAAAAAAAAAAAGACATTAATGAAACCAAAATTAGCATTTTTGTGCGTAAAAAAATTAACTAAAAAAAATTGAAACAAATTAATAAAATAAATAAAAAAAGATTGAAACAAATTAATAAACCAAAAAAAAATTTGAAACAAAACCAAGGAATAAATTAATAAAAGAAATTAATAAAATAATTTAATAACACCTTTTCCAAAACTAAGAAACACAATAATAAAAAACTATGAAAAAAGAAAAGATAAGAAAATTATCCAAGTTTGTGAATTCATTTTCCATGTAAAAAATTTCAAAAAAACAAAACATAAATTGCCCTACTAGACAAAAAAATAAACAAATTGGAAAAATATATGTATATATATTAAAAGTAAAGACAAGGCTAACGTTGTCAATCGTTTGTACAGTTTGGTACTTTCACTATAAGGGCATTTGGGTCATTTCACATGTGGCCACCTCACAAAAAAGCCAAAAAGCAAAAACATCCAAAAAGTCTATCCAAAACCAAGTTTTTTAGCCCCAGGCTAAAATAGCCAAAAAGTCAAAAAGCTAACTCACTTCCCAAACCACACCTAAGCCTCCGTTTGGGAAGGCAAATTTGGGCTAAAATAGCCACTGCAGTCCAAAAAAGGCTAAATTAGCCACCAGCAGACAAAAGAGATTCACATGCTATGCATTGTCCCAGGCCAGGGTGAATTTACCAAACTACCCCCTCTCACTTTACTTGACATGAGCACCGCCTCACCACACACGCAACACCGAAATTAGGTCACACCAACAACACGCTAAAGAAAAGGGGCGAATCGGGGACGCTAAACGGCGAAGGCATCGCGCGAACAATGCCAAAGTTGATCGGAACCGAAGGACACATTGCGCGAAGAACGCCAAAGAATAACTAGCCGTCTAAAACACCACCGATCTTCAGGTACTAGTTGCTTTGTTTTTTTTTTTTTTTTTTGCTTTGTTTGTGAGTAAATCCTTCGCCTTCAACCCAATCTAGTGGGTTCATCTGTCAAAGCCATTGTTGTGGGAGATTAAACATCTTTCGCCATTTTTTTTGGGGCATCTGTGGTTGTTTTTTTTATTTCTATTTGCTTTGTTTATGTCAATTTTTTTTTTCGCATGTGGGAAACCCACTGCTCTGTCATGGAAATGTAGCAAAATACGCCCCTGTTTTTTTTTTTTTAGCCAAATACCCCCCTTTTTTTTTTTTTTTTGCACTACAAATGCTAATCTTCATACCATTCTGTGATAATTTTTTTTTTTTTGGTGCTGAATTGAGGTTCATGTTTTGTTTTCTTTTCTTTTTTTCCTTACTGCAGATCTGCTAATTGTATTTTTTTCGAACTTAGTTTGTTTTTCAAATTGAGGTTTTGTAATTTCGGTATTTTTTTTTTTTGACGAAATTTTTGTTTTTGTTACACTCAGGTTCTGATAACCCATTCCCAAAATTTTGATAATTCATGTATTGCCAATTTCATGTATTATCTTGCCAATCCAAATAGAATTCATGTATTTTCTTTTTTTCTTTTTTTCAAAATTTCGAATTCATGTTTGTGTATTGCCAATTTGATGAAACGATGACAACAAAAAGAAGCAAATGAATCGTTTCACAAAGTTAGATTTTAAAATGAATAAAAAAACAATGAAACAAATTAATAAAAAATAATAATTCAAACTATACCAAGAAACAAATTAATAAAAGAAAGTAAAAAAAAAAAACAATAAAAATTAGTAACGCCTTTTCCAAAACCTAGAAACAAAATAATAAAAAACTATGAAAAAAGAAAAGATAAGAAAATTATCCAAGTTTGTGAATTCACTTTCCACGTAATTTTCAAAAAAAAAAAACATAAATTGCCCTACCAGACAAAAATTTGAACCCAAAAAAAAAAAAAAACAAATTGGAAAATATATATATATATATATTAAAAGCAAAGACTAGGCTGACGTTGTCAGTCATTTGTGCAATTTGGTACTTTCACTATAAGGGCATTTTGGGTCATTTCACACGTGGCCACCTCACAAAAAAGCCAAAAAGCAAAAAAAAATCCAAAAAGTCTATCCCAAACTAGGTTTTTTAGCCCCAGGCTAAAATAACCAAAAAGCCAACTTACTTCCCAAACCACACCTAAGCCTCCGTTTGGGAAGGCACATTTGGGCTAAAATAGCCACTACAGTCCAAAAAAGGCTAAATTAGCCACTAGTGCACAAAAGAGATTCACGTGCTATGCATTGTCCCAGGCCAGGGTGAATTTACCAAACTACCCCCTTCTACTCTGCTTAACATGAGCACCGCCTCACCACACACACAACACTGAAATTAGGTCACACCAACGACAAGATGAAGCCAAGGGGCAAATCGGGGACGCTGAACGGCGAAGACAACACGCGAACAACGCCAAAGCTGATCAGAACTGGAGGACACATCGCGCGAAGAACGCCAAAGAAGAACTTTTCGTTATTATTACTTTTTTTTTCTTTTTGCGAAATTTTTGTTTTTGTTACACTCGGGTTCTGATAATCCATTCCCAAAATTCTGATAATCTGTGTATTGCCAATTTCATGTATTATCTTGCCAATCCAAATAGAATTCATGTATTTTCTTTTTTTTCTTTTTTTCGAAATCTCGAATTCCTGTTTGTGTATTGTCAATTTGATGAAACGATGACAACAAAAAGAAGCAAATGAACCGTTTCACAAAGTTAGATTTTAAAATAAATAAAAACACATTGAAACAAATTAAGAAAAAAAAATAATTCAAACAATACCATGAAACAAATTAATAAAAGAAAGTAAAAAAAAAAATTAGTAGTGCCTTTTCCAAAACCTAGAAACAAAATAATAAAAAACTTTGAAAAAAAAAAAGACAAGAAAATTATCCAAGTATGTGAATTCATTTTCCACGTAATTTTCAAAAAAACAAAACATAAATTGCCCTACCAGACAAAAAAAAAAACAAATTGGAAATATATATATATATATATATTAAAAGCAATTGTCAGCCATTTGTGCAGTTTGGTACTTTCACTATAAGGGCATTTTGGGTCATTTCACATGTGGCCACCTCGTAAAAAAGCCAAAAAGCAAAAAAGTCCAAAAAGTCTATCCCAAACTAGGTTTTTTAGACCCAAGCTAAAATAACAAAAAAGCCAACTCACTTTCCAAACCACTCCTAACTCTCCATTTGGGAAGGCAGATTTGGGCTGAAAATGCTAAATTAGTGACTAGCAGACAAAAGAGATTCACGTGCTATGCATTGTCTCAGGCCAGGGTGAATTTACCAAACTATCCCCGTCCCACTCTACTTGACATAAGCACCGCCTCACTACACACGCAACACTGAAATTAGATCCCACCAACAACACGTTGAAGCGAAGGGGCGAATCGGGGACTCTGAACGGCGAAGACATCGCGCGAACAACGCCAAAGCCAATTGGAACCAGAGGACACATCGCGCGAAGAACGCCAAAGAAGAACTCGCCGTCTGAAACACCACCGATCTTCAAGTACTAGTTGCTTTTCTTTTCTTTTCTTTTTTTGCTTTGTTTGTGCATAAATCTGTCAGCTTCAACCTAATTTGGTGGGTTCAGCTGTCAAAGCCATTGTTGTGGGTGATAAAACATCTTTCGCCATTTTTTTTTCGGCATCTGTGGTTGTTTTTTTTTTTTATTTGTGTTTGCTTTGTTTATGTCAAATTTTTTTTTTTTTGCATGTGGGAAACCCACTGCTCTGTCATGGAAATGTAGCCAAATACTGTCACGACCCCATTTCGCCCCTTGTAGAATGGTGTCGTGATGGCCAGTAAACCGAGATTACCAAAGGCCAACTTACAAAGTCACACACAATCAGAGTATACATATGGGGCTTACATGTGCGGAAGGAATAAATTTAAATCTAAATGGTCCATAAGAGCTGTGCATAGATCAAATGGAATGACATACATAACACGGTTTTACAACTTGAATACAAATGGATTAAAACTAAATATTACATCTTGATCAAAAGGCTTCTCAAGCCGACATATACAAAAGACATGCAATACAAGCCAAGAAGCATAATCTTCAAGATGCTAGCAGAAACATAAACCAAAACATCTTGCAATAATCATCTAGGCGTCACCGCCTTCTTGCTCGTCACCTACACATATATATAGAGAGGGTGGGCTTGGATACTCAGTGAATGATATTAGTAATAAAGGTTTAAATGAATGATATCCGAGATCTTTATCAAAACAATACATAGCATATCTTGTACCAAATCAAAGGATGAACCAAGTTCATCTGTCAAATCTTTCAAAACTTCAAGGGATGC